AAACAAGTGTTGTAAAGGACATATTTTATGCAAAAAGTTATTCAAAGTGCCAAATTTTTAATAATATGAATTATTTAAAATAATTCATTAACAAATTAGTAATAAAACTTTTGTGATAAATACTTTTAAATGTTAATATTTTGTTTTAATCAATTTTTGCAACATAACCTATTTTCATCTGTAAAGTTTGCGCAAAAAGTTATTTGAAATCAATTTGGTATGTCATAATTAATAATTTATGATAAATAATGCGTAACCAAGCCTTAAATAATTATTTTTATCTATGACATTGCTTTTTTTTACTTTCACATATTAAAAAAATGTATTTTATAATACGTTGAACAATGTAACACCAACTAACACAATACTCAATTATTTGCATTTAAGTTTTATAGTCTTCTGTTTTTGTATATTTTTAAAATCAAGTTGAAATGGTTTTGCCTAAGCTTCAAACGAATCCTCTCACAAGACTCTGCAGATAATAAAACACACCTCGAGCAATGTCTAACGAGGAAGCACCCAAAAAACTTGGTAAAAATGCCAAGAAAACGCTTAGCACGAAAGTCGAACGAGCAAAAACCCACTTCGAGTGACAATTTAACACACAAATTTTCACAACTAAACGTGCAAAAAGGTAACCAAGAACACAAACCTAGAAGAAGTGGTACTTCAAGACAAAAAAAACCCAATCCGAGAAGTCCTAACAAAAGTGTGAGCACTTGCGAACAAACCTATCCTGACTTCTGGACTCCCCAGCAAGTCGATAAAGGCTTACAGGACAAAACGTTGATCTCAGGTACGTTTAGGATTAACAAAAACAATTACAGGACTGCTTATGTAACACACCCCGATGGTGGTGTCGATGTCACCATCGAAGGCATGTTGGCACGTAATCGTGCCTTGGAAAGTGATGTCGTTGTTGTACGTATACTCCAAGATACACCAGGAGTACGTACTGGTGAAGTGGTTTATATAAAGTCTGCAGAGCACTCTAGAACTTGCGTAGGCTCTGTACAAAATTTTTAATAAGAACCATAAATACTTGTTGTTTATACCGAGAGATTCGAGGTTTCGAGGATGCGCGTGTATAAATGGATTGGCCGAGCAGTTTGCAAAATGCTGATGAGAAGGAGGTGCTGAATGTTTTTGTATTATGCGAAATTGGAGTCTTGGACTAATACTAAGTACGGTGTTGGTTGTATTACCAAGGAGTTGGTAAGAACGGCGATGTTGAGGTTGAGACAAAAGCTATTTTTTGTTGGAGAACGATTTGGACGTCACGCCTTACGGCGCGGAAATGGACAAGTTTTACCCAAGTGTTCCCTTTAAAATACCTCAAACAGAAATTAGTAAACGTGTAGACTATCGGGACAAATGTGTCTTTACAATTGATCCTTTAACCGCCAAAGACTTAGATGATGCTCTGTCTTGCGAGGAATTAGACACGGTATGTAAAATCGGCGTGCACATTTCTGATGTTAGTTATTTTTTAAAACCCGACAACGACTTGGACAAAGCCGCAGCTTTTAAGGCTACTTCTATACATGGTCGAAAGCGTTTATCACATGCTGCCTAAAAATTTGTGCATGATGTGCTCTTTGTTACCAGGACTTGATCGGTTGAGTTTTTCTGTGTTTTGGGAAATGACCAGACAGGGTGAGGTTGTCAGTTCGGAGTTTCGCAAAACTGTTATAAATTCTTGTACGCAATTAGCGTATGAACACGCCCAAGAAATGTTGGAGGCCTGTGATGACCAGGAATTGGATTGCACAAAGTTTCCTGCAATTTTACACGACTACAAACTGTCTTATTTAACCCGTTTGGTTAAAATATTGCAAAGCATAGCTTTGCAATTGAGACAAAAGCGTTTCCACAACGGAGCTTTGAGGATAGATCAACCCAAACTAAGTTTCAAACTAAACCCGCAAACGTCCCTACCAGAATCCTTTGCCATCCAGCAACTACAAGACAGCAACAAACTCATCGAAGAATTCATGCTCTTAGCAAACATAACAGTAGCACAACATCTGTACCAAAATTTACCACAAACAGCATTCCTGCGAGCCCATTTGGAACCACAACCAAGAATGCTGAAGGATCTACAAGACTTCCTAAAATCTGTCGGCGTCACTTTGAATATCGAATCATCCAAATCCATCCAGCAATCTTTACTCAGCATCGAACAAAAATTAGACCAGGAAGTTGTCCAGGGGTGTGATGCTGGTTTGTAAATAATCTTTGCTCTAAGGCGATGACCAGGGCTCATTATTTTTGTGTGGGCAAATTGTCGATGAGGAGGAATTGCGACATTATGCCTTGAGTGTAGATCGGTATACACATTTACGAGCCCTATTAGGAGATATGCTGATATTGTAGTACACAGGTAGTAAATGATAGATGATTAAATTTTAGTTAGAGATTAATTTTTATTAATATTGCAGACAACTGGCTCATGTTTTGGGAATCGAGAAGTATGAGCACGAATTTAAGGATTTGGAACAGGTTGCTGGACAGTGCAATAAAAATAAATACAATGCTAAGGTAATACAAAACAAACAAAATTTTAATAATATACAGGACAACAATTGTAATGAAGCTGTTCGCGCCAATCAAAGATAATTATAAAATAAATCAAATCAATCAATACGTTATCAAAAACACATTAAAATTATTATAATTACGATTGCAATTCAATCAAACAATCACCTAAAAAACATTGATCCGGCTCGAAGGACCAATGTTTTTTTTGGATGGTTGTTGTGATTGATTGCTTTTTGAAGGACCAATTGTAAATACTTTGATTATAACTGTATATATTTATTTTATATTAATAACAAGTTATAAGTGTATTTACAATAATTTTAATACTGTTTTTGATTACATATTGATTGATTTGATTTATTTGTATGATTTTCGATTCATGATTTTTTTTGTTTATATATCAATATAACTGCATGCTTTGATTGGCGCAAACAGAAGCAATGAATATAAGTATACTAGTTTCTAAATAAACTGAAGGTTTTCAAAGATTTTCTACATAGTGTTTATAGGGAACTCTTGCTTTGGAACTCAGTTTACTTAGTACGTATTTTTACTTTAGTGCTTGTAACTTCTAAACTAAACTTTTGATTTAAATTATGTATTCGGCGAATTTGTTTAAAATTAAATATTTAACAACGTTATCTAACATCTTTTAGTCCTACAGCAACTTAGTATACTTTAAAACGCATTTTAAAACATACAACTTTGCTTCCGCCGTTATTATAAAGAATTCATATAGTAATAACAGCGGAAGCAAAGTTGTACGTCTTTTTATTTTAAAAGTGTTGAACTATTATAATATATATGAACATAATTTCAAAACCATTCGTTTAATAATGCTGTATTCGGCAAATTTGTTTAAAATTAAGTAATTAACAATGTTATCTAACATTGTATCACCTTACAGCAACTCGGTATAATTTAAAATGTCAATTATAAAACGCATAATCAATTTCAGCGCATTTGTAGTACATTTATTGCTTCAATCTTTCATAAATCTCAAACCATTCGATTAATATTGTTGAGGTGTGAGGAAAACTTGTACAAAATTAAACATTCAACAATTTATACTACCATTATGATGTGTTTTAACAACTCGGTATACTTTAAAATCGAATTTGAAAACATACAACTTTGTTTTCGCCATTATTGTAAAGAACTTGTATAGCAAAAACGGCGGAAGCAAAGTTGTACGCACTAGTATAATATATATGCACATAACTTTAAAACCATTCGTTTAATATGAATGATATATTCGGCGAATTTGTTTGAAATTAAACAATATACAAATGTTTCTAATAATAAATTACTCTACAGCTACTCGATATACTTTAAAATCGCAATCGAAAAGCAACAAATAATCTGTGCATTAGGAATACTACTTTCCAAACAAAGTAAAGGTTTTCAAAGAATTTCTACGAAGTGTTTGTAGTGACATCATGCTTTGGAATTCGGTATACTTAGTGCATATTTTTACTTAATCACTTGTAACTTCTAAACTATTCTTTTGATATAAACGATGTATTTGAGAAATTTGTTTGATATTGAACAATTAACAATATTGACTAACATCATAGGGCCCTACAGCAACTCGGTATACTCTAAAATGCTTTTGAAAACATACAACTTTGCTTTCGCCTTTATTGTAAAGAACTCGCTTAATAAAAACGGCGGAAGCAAAGTTGTACTTCAAATAAAATAGATAACTGGAACAGTTGAACAAAAAATGCATAACTGTAGTAATATTTAAAATATAATTATTATTTTGAAAACCATAAGATTATATATATATATATATATATATAATATATATATATAATATATATATATATATATATATATATATATATATTTATAATATAATTTATGATGCACTGCTCATAGCGAAAAATTTGTTAATTAGTTTTAGATAAAAGGTAGATTTATGTTAACTGACTTAGTAGTTCTTTGAGGATAACTTTGAGTATATATATATATATATATATATATATATATATATATATATATATATATAATTATTATTTGTTTTCAGAGAGCTGGTGAGATGAGCTGCGAATTGTACTTAAGTCTTTACATCGTCAAAAATTCACCACTTGTCGAAGATGCTGTGATTTTAGACATTAAGGATCGTTCCATCGACGTTATAATTATCAGGATGAATCTTAACAAGAGGATTTATTACGAGGTACACATTTCTTCTACATGTATTATATATATATATATGTATATATATGTATATATATATATATATATATATATATATTATATATATATATATATATATATATATTAGGCTTGCACCGAATATTCGGTTACTATTCGGTATTCGGCATATTCGGCTCCTTTTTTACTATTCGGCCGAATACCAAATAGTTAAAATCAAAGGCGCCGCCGCCGCTCAGCGATAGCATTGTTGGTGTTTTATCTTTTATGCGATAAAAAACTCGCGATGGATCTGTCTTTGGAAGTGTTTAGTTTACATAATATGATATGAAAGAAATTATTTCGTTATTGTATATATAATAATTTAAACTTCATCGACTTTTGACATCATCAATGAACACGCGAAGAACTTTTCTCTGAATATTCACAAGATGCTCCATTGTTACATGTTTATATTATTTAATATGAATCAATCCATGATTCCACGCATATGTTGTATCAATACAATAAAGTCATTTATTATTTTCAATCTAACTATTTCCACATAAAGAGCTATTATTGACTTTTTATCGCTAAATATACAAACAAAATTTTTGATCATATATTATTAACTTCCCGAAGGAGAAGTTTATGTTTTCATCAAAAAATCCGATTCTCTAATTTTACGTTTTCTCGACGTTTCAAGCCATTCTGAATCGAATGAGACCAAATTTGGAAAAAGTATGTGTGTGTTGTGTTTTTTTTTTTTTTTTTTTTTTTGTATAGCGAAGGAAATGCTTTTATGCATCCCAGACCGGTCTTCTGTCTGGGTATGTCGGACTCGATACCGCCCTGGTATAATACCGACTAAAACCTCCGCTTTGCCCATGCCTCTGGTCCCCACGGAAACCGCCGTTAGGCATTACTTCGTGGGGGAGGATCTAGAATGTAACAATTCTTAACTTGTTATAAACAATGTTATAATTAATAAACATTATACTTATCTTTTAAATGGGCGAAGTGCCATTCGCCCTTTCTCTCTCTATAGAACGCAGGTCCATTAAAACGTCTCTCGCAAATCTGTCTATGGCGTTCCAAGCGGCATCACTTGCCAGCATCACTTCAACAACATTACCTGGGGTAATTCTGCCTCCCAATGTCTCTTCCACGTCATCCCGTAGAGCACCAAATCGCGGGCACACGAAGAACACATGCTCAGCATCTTCGATTTCGCCCAAACAATATGGGCAATCCGGCGAGCTATCGTGCTTGAAGCGGTGCAGGTAGGCTCGAAAACAGCCGTGCCCCGATAGCATTTGCGTAGTATAATAATTTACTTCGCCGTGCTTGCGACTTAGCCAGACTTTGATGTTAGGAATGAGACGATGCGTCCATCTGCCATTTACTGCGACATCCCACAGTTGCTGCCATCGGTCAATGCTGTTCTTCCGTTCTTCTAATCTCAGCTTTTCAGGACTCAGTTGTTGATGTCTTCTATGGTAAATTGTCCGTCTTTCCTCTGCTAAGACTAAGAGAGGCACAGTTCCTGAAATGACGCATACTGCTTCTGCCGATATTGTGCGAAATGCGCAAGCAATTCTTATAGCACTGAGACGATATAAGGGCCCTGCCATTCTCCTCGATTTTTGAGATTTAAGAGCATCAGCCCATATGGAGATACCATATGTCAGCACCGAGGTAATAACTGACGATAGTAATATCCTTCTGGTTTGTTTAGGACCTCCAATATTAGGCATCAGTCGAGCAAGTTTCGTTCTAACTATTGACGCCTTAGCACTAACGTGTTCCACCTGTTGATTGAAATTCAAACGAGCATCAAGCATTACGCCAAGGTAACAGATGTGAGGTTTTGACGTGATTTCAAGATTTCCTATCTTTAGCTTGATGGTCTCAATTCTTTTCCTACTAGTGATAAGAACAGCTTCACTTTTTTTTGTGCTAATTGGAGATTCATTGTTCCCATCCACCGATTAATTTTTCTAAATGTAATATTGAATAGGCTTACGATGTCATCAATTTGTTTGGAGACAACCACTATGGCAACATCGTCTGCATATGCTACTAGTTTCACACATTCTGGAATCTCTAGTCTCAAAAGGCCATCATACATAATATTCCACAGCAAAGGGCCTAGAACAGAGCCCTGCGGCACACCTCCTGTTATATTATATTCTTCTGTACCATCGCGTGAATCGTACATTAGAATTCTGTCTGTAAAGTAGCTTGCGACTATATTGCATAGGTATGCCGGCACGTTCTTGTCACGGAGTGCATTCATAATGCAATCCCAGTTTGCAGAATTGAAAGCATTTTTTATGTCCAATGTAGCTACAAGGCAGTACTTTTTTGAACCTCCCTTCCATCTGGTTCCAGCAATTGCCTCCTTGGCGGTATTAACTACCAAGTTTATAGCATCGATAGTTGATCGCCCTTTGCGAAAACCATACTGATTGTCTGCTAGGATTGGATCAACTATTGCATCTATTCTTTGGTGAATTATTCTTTCAAAAATTTTACCCGCTGTATCCAGCATGCATATTGGACGGTAGGATGATGGTTCATCTGGTGGTTTTTTCCTTTGGGAATAAGCACTAATCTTTGCTGTTTCCATTTTTGTGGAAAAACCCCATCTTTCAGGCATGTATTATATGCATTAAGAAACATTGTCGGAGATGTCATAATTGATGTTTTTAATGCAATATTAGGAATTCCATCTAATCCCGGTGCCTTACTATTACCAACGCGATGACAAGCTTCCATCAGTTCTTGCAGTGTTATAAGTGGAATATTATTCTGTTCTACATGCGTTACCTGGTAGTTCAAATTAGGTTGTCGTGGAAACAAAGTAGTTACTATTTTATTCAATAGTCGTGGGCAAGTTGGTGAAGGTGTTGGCTGGCTTTTGAGGCGAGACATTACAGTCTTATAAGGTCTTCCCCATGGATTTTCCTCGACTTCATCCAAAAGTTCTTTCCAGCACCTAACTTTACTATCTTTGATAGCTTTATTTAGTTGCCTACGTGCTTGTTTATATTCCACTACCAGTTGTGCAGAATTACTGAGACTATATCCACGCTGAGAGATCCTTCTTTTCTTTAGGCACTCTTTACGAAGAGAGCTGATTTCTTCAGTCCACCAGTGCACAGATTGTCTTTGATTTATGCCATGTTTACGAGTCATACTGATATCACAGGCTTCGGTTATTCTCTCCATCAGCTCTCTAGTATGCTCGTCTGCGTGTTCTGAAATTATAGGTTTGCAATTTAAGGCAACTCTCATGGCGCTTTCATCAAAAGATTTTATTTTCCACCCAATGGCTTTAGATATTTTTGCATGTCTTCTAAAGTTTCTATTTGTTGATATTTCCCAGATGATTGCATTGTGGTCACTAGCAGTGTAGATATCTAATACCTCCCAATTGCAAATTCCTCTGACGAGGCTATTGCTAACAAAAGTAAGGTCTATTATTGAGCTTGCACTGCCCTTTTCAAAGGTTGGTTTATCACCCCTATTAAGTAAAACAACGTCAAGTGCATTGAAGGCCTCTAAAAGCGCTTTACCTCTTGCATTAGTCTTCCTACTTCCCCAGTCTACCGCCCATGCGTTAAAGTCACCGGCTATCGCTACGGGGTGGTGTCGTTTTGCAACCTCCACAAGTGTGTGTGTGTGTGTGTGTATGTGTGTGTGTGCGTGTATGTGAACAGATTTTTTGCCGTAAATCGACGTTTTCTCGAAAACGGCTGGGCCGATTTCAAAAATTTAAAAGCCATTCGATGTATCTCGATGAGGACTATTGTTTGTCAGTTTTGTGCGACGATCGGCCAAGCCGTTTCTTTATAAATCGCAGGAAAGTGAAAAATTTTTCGTCTACGTTTTAGCCCGCAATTCTGAATCGATTTTGAAAATTCAAAAACTGTTCGAAAGATATTGGTTGGGAATCGTGCTGATTAGTTTTTGGTAGAGATCGGCCGGGCCGTTTTCTTGTAATAAAGTTTTTAAAAAAAAAATTTCGACGATTTTTATGATTATTTTTTTGGCGGTAGATACCATAGTCTTCTAGATCATACTAAAATATTACGGCTCTACGATAACTGGTTCAGCTTTAAAAATTCGTCAAAGTTTGCAAAAATTGGTATTGTTTTTTTGGCATTTGTCAGAATCAGACCTTTGATCAACGTTTTCTCAAAAACGCCTGAACCGATTTCAGAAATTTAAAAGCCATTTGATGTATTTCGATGAGGATTATCGTTTGTCAGTTTTGTGCGACGATCTGCCAAGCCGTTTCTTTGTAATTTGAAAAAAAGTGTTGAACTTTTCGTCCACATTTAAGCTCATCCTACCGAACCGATTTTAAAATATCAAAAACTGTTCGAAAGATATTAGTCGGGAATGATACTGATAAATTTTAGGTGAAAATCTACCGAGCCGTTTTCTTGTAATTAACTGTTTAAAAAAAGTGTTAAATTTTCGTCGACATTTAAGCTCATCCTACCGAACCGATTTTAAAAAATCAAAAACTGTTCGAAAGATATTAGTTGGGAATGGATCAAGTTGCTTATCCTAAAATTGGATCGATTAAGTATATTATTTACACATTTCGGGAAGTTCATGCAACTTGCCTTCAGGCTAAATGCACCTTCAACTAGTTTATTTTATTATGATTAGCTTACCTAATATGTAAGAAATAATATTGAGTTTATGAAAGAAATAACTGGGCATACATTTACATATATGTAAAGAATCGCTTTTTTCATGATTTTGCCATTTATTTATTCGATATTGGGTCGAATAGTGTAAATGGTGCCAAATCTTCTAAACAACAAAGAGTAGCCGAATAGTGGTTGCAAGCCTAGGCATAAGACTTGAATGTAGCGCGTTAGTAATATAACAATTATTGATAGTAATTACATTAATACAAACAAGCTTAGGCGCCATAAACCTGCCGAATAGTTGCCGAATATTCGGTATTCGGTATTTTGCCGAATATACTATTCGTTGCAAGTCTATATATATATATATATATATATATATATATATATATATATATATTTATATATTTGCTCCCACTCCTTCACTACACTTGCGTGACTACACTTGCTTTGTAACCTTGATCAGTGTCCATAATGCACCGCTATTAATAACATTAAATATAGGAGGGCAATATGTGCTCCTTCAATTTCTCGTTTGTTAATATAATAGTATATTATTATTTTACACAAATTTAGTGTTCAATCAATTTTACATCATAATTAATATTTTCTGTTGTTTTTCCTGGTTTGATCACTGAATGATGACACACATCAAATGTCGAAGCGTTTAATAGAATAAATAATTTTGTTATTTAATCTTTTTTTTTAATTGGACGATTGGGCTGCAAAAATTATTACAAATATATATTATATATATATATATATATATATATATATATATATATATAATCTCTTTTCCCTTTCAGTCCTTCATCCATGCAAAGTACGAACCGATATTCAATTCCTCCAAAAAGAAAGTAATCTCTTGCAACGTTCAATGGGATAAAAATATCCTACAAGAAAAATTCGTCACAGAATACTATCAAAAATCGCTCCTGAATTCTTCGAAAGCCAAAGACAACAAAAATACTCAACAAAAGACTCCTAGATCTCTCGAAAATGCAAGATTTAGTGACATCAGAAGTCTGAAATTGTTTAATAAAGTTAAAGTAGTGGTTTGTGGAAATTGTAATAACTTATTGTCGACTGAAGCATTTTTATTACCTTGAGTATGTATAGTGATTTTATACTTTTTATCAATTGTATATAAATATTTTGTTTATGTGATATGATGGAAACGATTCTAATTGCATCGTTTTGTAGATTGTAAATAATTTTCTGGTTTTATAATAATTTTGTTATATTGAATCCATAATATATGTTTTAAACTTTTAAGAAATTTTAGAGTTTTATTCACTTCAGACTTAATAACAGATTTATTTGTTATTAATAATATAATAATAGTAATAGTATAATGTTACTGTTATTATTTTTTAATATAACTCAACTTGTTTAATATAATTATTTACTTTATTAGGTGTACAACTTTGTTTTCGCCGTTTTTTTAATACGACTTCTTAACAATAATGGCGTAAGCAAAGTTGTATGTTTTCAAATGCGTTTTAAAGTACACTGAGTTGATGTAGGGCATAATGATATTAGACAATATTGTTAATTATTTAATTTTAAACAAATTTGCTGGAGACATCATATATATCAAAAGAATGGTTTAGGAGTTACAAACGATAACGTAAAAATATGTGCTAGGTATACTGAATTCCAAAGCAAGATTCCACTACAAACACTATGTAGAAATTCTGTGAAAAACTTCAGTTTGTTTAAAAGCTAGTATACTTTATATTAAGTATATTTGCTTTATTTTAATTGCGATTTTAAAGTATACCGAGTTGCTTTAGAGTCATTTATTGTTAAAAACATTTGTATATTGTTTAATTTCAAACAAATTCGCCAAACACGTCATTCATATTAAACGAATGGTTTTTGAATTATGGGCATATATATTACATTAGTGCGTACAACTTTGCTTCCGCCGTTTTTACTATGCGAATTCTTTATAATAAGGGCGAAAGCAAAGTTGTACGTTTTGAAATGCAATTTTAAAGTATACCGAATTGTTAGAAGACACCATAATGTTAGTAAAGATTGTATATTGTTTAATTTTCTACAAGTTTTTCTTACACCCCAACAATATTAATCGAATGGTTTCAGATTTATGAAAGATTGAACAAATAAATGTGCTATAAACGCGCTGAGATTAATTTTGCGTTTTATAATTTAGATTTTAAAGTTTACCGAGTTGCTGTAAGGTCATATAATGTTAGACAATATATTAGATTATTTAATTTTATACAAATTTGCCGAATACACCATTCATATTAAACAAACGGTTTTAAAATTATGTTCATATATATTACATTAGTTCAACACAAGTAAATAGATGTACAACTTTGCTTCCGCCGTTATTATTATATGAATTCTTCACAATAAAGGCGGAAGCAAAGTTGTATGCTTTAAAATGCGTTTTAAAGTATACCGAGTCGCTGTAGGGCTAATGATGTTAGACAACATTGTTAATTATTTAATTTTAGACAAACTTGGCGAATACATGATTCATATTAAGCGAATAGTTTAAAAGTTATTGGCGTTTCTATTACATCAGTAGAACACTAAAGTATTAAAACGTACAACTTTGCTTCCGCCGTTTTTTTAAAACGAGTTCTTAACAATAATGGCGTAAGCAAAGTTGTATGTTTTTAAATGCGTTTTAAAGTATACCGAGTTGCTGTGGAGCAAAATGATGTTAGACAACATTGTTAATAATTTAATTTTAAACAAATTTGCCGAAGACATCATTCATATTAAGAGAATAGTTTAGAAGTTACAAGCGATGAAGTAAAAATATGTACTAGGTATACTAAATTCCTAAGCAATATTTCACTACCGATACTATGGGCGAAAATATTTGAAAAAGTGTCGTTTGTATGGAAACTAGTATACTTTATAATTAATTTTAATTTGAAAATTTGCTTTATTTGACTTAAATACATACATTGATTTTTACATAAAGATACAAGTTGTATACACCTATTCTGGAAATATCATTATAATATAATATAATATTGTTTGCATATATATATATATATATATATATATATATATATATATATATATATATGCAAACTTACGTATACTTTATAATTTGATAAGACGTACAAGGCTTTTCTAGAATACCAAATGCAATGTAAACTAATTTTGATTTATTTATTGAGAAATAATGTAACAAGTTTGAAAATGTATTTGAAATTCTAATTTTAAAAGAATGTTTATTAATTATTCATCAGAAAAAACTACAAACTAGTATTTGTTAATAATAATCTTTCATAATTATTAATTACAAACAAGTCAGCACCTACCACAACCTTTATCAGTTAAAAACATTGCAAAGCAAATGTGCGCCTACATAGATAAAATTAATATCATTATATCAATTAATTATCAAGCTATAAATGTTATTTATATAAATTGAAGAGACGTTCGTAATGAATTTACTAATTAATGATTAAATGTGACCAATTTTTAATAACTTGTTGAGTAGATTAGAGTTTTATTTGGAATACTTAACGACGAGAATTGGAACATTTTGTAGCTCTTCTGGAAGTGTGTGAAGTCAAAGAATTCTTTTAGATACAAAAATTTATTTAGCGCTTTATTATAATATTTTAGTTGTTACTTCTTCAACAGTTCAGGACTAAATAACTTTATATTTTTACATTTTTAAAAATATTTCCAATATTTTTAGTATTATGATAGCTCGCCGAGGGTACATGAGCTATCATAAACTTTTATTAAGGGTTGCCTTGCAGATGTACAAGATATTCGCAACATTTACCGTTATTTGGTATTATACATGGTTCAAATAAATTTACTTATGACTATTATTTATAATTATAAAGAACACAATTCTCAACAAAATATTTAAATTTATAAAAATAGATTTTCCCGCCAAACGTCAACCTTGACCTACTTCACTCCTCTCTCTTCGGTTTTTGCATCTGACACAAAATGGCCGTCTGAAAAAAAAATCGCACAACTAAAACACGTCGAATTTTATGTATTTTATACGTTTTATCCCTTATAATAAATAAATAAATCCATTACCGCATGTGTCAAATTTGTTTTCAAATTTTTAAATAATTTGTAGTGTTTGAAAGTGATCGAATTGAGATATTTTTTATTTACCGTTTGAGGTTATGTATGCATCATTTTGACAGTCGGCTTGTTCGTGTTTTATTGAGGAAAGTTAAAAGGATTTGTGGGAAAAAGAGAGGAGCTTTTGGTCAAAATGATAAATGGTAAGTGATAATAGATATTAGAGTATTTATTTTGTTATGTGATAAGATTTGTGTGTGTGGGAAATGATGGAGTACATTGTTACTTTGTGTGTATGTATATTTCAAGTTTTTGAAGATATGTTGTATTTGTTTTGTACTTATCATTTTCCACACATTTAAATATATATATATATATATATATATATATATATATAGATATATGTAATCATGATCATTGTTACATGTACAAGTTTTTTGTATATATATATATTTTTTTTTTCCATTGACAAGTTTGGTTATCAATTTTTTCACAAGACGTATCTTCTATTTTTTTTATTAATATTAAATGATATTGTATAAATCTTATACAATCTACATAGTGCATTTTTTGCAATAACGTTTGATCTGTCAAACTGACATTTCTAACTGCAAATTTTGCAGGGCCGCATTTTGTACATTTTGAGTAAAAAAACACTTCAAGGCTTTAGAACTTAGATTCATTACATATAGTTCACACTTTGTAAAATTTTAGAGAAAAGACTTAGTATTATCTTTTGATTTGCTTGTCAGTAGAATCCTTTTTGTATCACCTAGATCCATATTTAATTTGCTCGTCAGTAGAGTCTTTTTTTTATTTTCTAGATTGATATTTAATTTGCTCGTCAGTAGAGTCCTCTTTTTTTATTTTCTAAAATGTTATTTAATTTGCTCGTCAGTAGAGTCCTTTTTTATTTTCTAGATTAAATTTTAACTTTGATTGTCAGTAGAATCCTCTTTTTTATTTTCTAGATTAATATTTAATTTGCTCGTCAGTAGAGTCCTTTCTTTATTACCTAGGTCAGTATTTAATTTTCTCGTCATTTTCAAGAATCTTGATTGATATTTAATTTGCTCGTAAGTAGAGTCCTTTATTAAACACCTAAATTAATTTTTCCCCGAAGGGGAAGTTTGTTTTCTCCAAAATTTTGCTTTCTTGACGTTTCAAGTCATTCTGAATCGGATGAGACCAAATTTGGAAAAAGTGCGAGTATGTGAGCAGATTTTTGACTTTTTATCGACGTTTTTCCAAAAACGGCTGCAAGGATTTCAAAAATTTAAAAGCCATTCGATGTAACTTGATAAGGACTAGTCAGTTTGTCAAGTTTGCACGACGATCAGTCAAGCCGTTTCTTTGTAAATAGCAGAAAAGTGAAAATTTTCCGTCCAAAATCTGAATCGATTTTAAAAATCCAAAACCTATCCGAATTATAAAGATCAACCTAGTCGTTTCTTAGGAATTAATTGTTGAAAAATTAACTTAGGAATTAACTTCTTGTCCATGGGGGATTGTGACGTCACTTATTGAACGAGCGTTGCCGACAATCGTGGAACACTCCCGATTTCATGTGCATAATCTTTACAATATACAAACCGATTTTAACAGATGGATTCGATTTTATCATATTTATTTATTTCACAGGAGCAATATTATTAATATCAAAATTCTTACAAAATTATCAGTTCACACACACAATTGCCATTATATTATTGAAACAAAAATATCACATATAATATTTGAATAACATTAACTAATATGATTAAATATCATTAATATCATTTCTTACAAAATTATCACTAAACATATAACATATGACATTTAATCAAGCTAGAGAGTTCCACGATTGTCGGCAACGCTCGTTCAATAAGTGACGCCACAGTCTCCTTCTATCTTTTAACATTGACATAAAATAAAAACATATGAGGACTAACAATCCATGTAGTGTAAGATCTAAGTTAAAAATTCATCAAAGAAAAAAAGTGCGTGTAAGCTTCACACGCGATTGAAGTAAAACTTTTTTGCTATTGTACGAGATGGCATTCAAGTTAAAATTAATTACATCATATAACAATTTTGAATAATGTTTATTAATAACGTATAATGTTTTAGGATCAGCAAAATGAAATTGTAAGCTTTGACATTTGAACATTGACTGTTTGCTTTTTTGACTATTTCGCTGGCGTGGCGATACAGTCTCATTCTGTGAGCAGATGTAGTATGTGTCTTGCCTATATAAATAGTTTCTAAAAATATATAGTAACCACGAATAATACAAATTACTTCAATGAACTTACGTTTCTTACACGGCACGGATTTTTCATATGTTTTATTATTTTCACGCGACACGACGACCAATCACAATCGACCTGTATAGAAATGATACTCGACTCGAGCGTAACGCTCTTCCGTTGCGTTTTTACAGATTCACACTCTAGACGCGACTAAAGAAGTTTTTACTTCAAAGAATGAATTGACAAAATTTGTCAAAACTTTAAATTTCACAAATTTCAAATCCATTTTTTTAACACTTTGCACTCGGATGCCGCCGCTCCGGCGGTAAATTACGTATTAATTCTGCATTTAGTAAGGGAAAAGGAACAATAAGTCTACAAAACTTCTCTAGTTGTGTAAAGAATGTTACGATTAATTTAAGTCATCAATAAATAATATCAAGGACTACCTGCATGATATACCTACGTAATCGTGTAGTTGAACCTAATTTTCATCCAAATATCTAGGCATAATGCCTCTTTCGACTAGTTTTTTTTACCACTTGACTTGCTTTTTACTTGAGTACATACGAGGTCTGTTCAAAAAGTACCCGGAATTACTAATAATTAAATTTCGCGGGTCTGGAGTGTCTGATTGTCAAAATTTTTTTTTATTGTGTTGGTATACATGCCCCTAAAGTATGATGAAATTTTCAGCTATATTCACTGTTTACTTTGTCTGTGGTAGTCGCTAAGGTTCGACGTGTTTTTCTGAGCTCGGCGATTTTTACAATGGAAGAATTGAAAAAGTCAAAGAATTTGTATTAAATTTTGCGTAAAAAATGAAATAAAGTGTTGCAAAGTGCAAAAATTCACCAGATATGGCTCCGTGTGACTTTTTCCTATTCCCAAAGTTGAAGAGACCCATGAAAGGACGGCGGTTTTCCTCGATTGAAGAAATAAAGGCCGAATCGCTGAGAGTGCTCAAGGACATATCAAAAAGTGAATATCAAGGGTGCTTCGAAAATTGGAAAAAACGCTGGCATAAGTGTATTATATCTGGGGGGGACTACTTTGAAGGGGACCACATTAATGTAGACGAATAAATAAATATTTTTTTGAAAAAACGAAAATTCCGGGTACTTTTTGAACAGACCTCGTATTATCAGTCTACAGATTATTTGTATTAAAATTGTGCAACTGCCATCATAAGTGATGTTACAAATCGTTTGACCATGAACTTACACCGACACACAAATATACACTTACAGATATATCTGTTCATTTCAATAACGGATAACAAAAAAAAAACAGACACTCGTTCTATTTTATCTATTTCGATATAGCAACAATATCTGTGTAACAAATGAATTAGTGGAATTTTTTCATCGCACATTTCCTCTAGTCTACACCTTACAAGTCAAGGATGAAAAGATTGTAAAACGACTACATATTTTAGGCTCATTTAGGAAAAATAATGGCTATATTCAATAAAGATTCAACTGACAAACAAAAAAAAACGACAACGACGTCTGTGAACGATCAAACTGAAATTGGGCTTAAAATGATAAAGAATGCGCTATAGATTCTGAAATTGGGCTTAAAATGATAAAGAATGCGCTATAGATTAGGTCAAATATGTGATAAAATGTGATTTTTTTAACTTCCCGAAGGAGAAGTTTATGTTTTCATCAAAAAATCCGATTCGCTAATTTTATGTTTTCTTCTGGACGTTTCAAGCCATTGTGAATAGAATGAGACCGAATTTAAAGAAAAAGTATGTGTATGGGTGTGTGTGCGTGTATGTGAACAGATTTTTTGCCGTAAATCGACGTTTTCTCAAAAACGGCTGGACCGATTTCAAAAATTTAACAGCCATTCGATGTACCGCGACGAGAACTATTGTTTGTCAGTTTTCTTTATAAATCGCAGAAACGTAAAAAATTTTTCGTCTACATTTTAGCCCGCAATACTGAATCGATTTTGAAAATTCAAAAACCGTTCGAAAGATATTGGTTGGGAATCGTGCTGATTAGTTTTTGGTAAAGATCGGCCGGGCCGAAAATTTAAGCCGATTTTCATGGAACTTTTTTTGGCGATTACCTCATGGCCTTATAGAACTTATTGTAATATTACGGCCCTACGACAAGTAGTTTAATTTTAAAAATTCGTCAAACTTTGCTAAAATTATTATCGTTTTTTTAAAGTAGGATTGATGAAGTATATTATTTACACATTTTTATTGATTAAGTCGATTATTTACACATATTGGGAAGTTCATGTAACTTGCTAACCCGGTTGTATGATTTGATACTTCCCCTAAAAACGGTTATTCGGATTTTGATAAATCTTTTTAGAGTTTATCAAAGAAATTTTTTAATATTTTCAAGAACGATAAAACTATAGTAATTTTGTAGAAATAAATGACAAAAATTACATGAAACCACTTATCATTATTCGACATGTCATCTGCTAAAAATGTCAATTAACTTGAAATTTGAATTTATCTGAAATTATGAGCCTAGAATATATTAAAATATATAATACAAGAAAAATGTAATGTCTACTATTATTATTATTGCCGAAAAGCAGCTAAGATGTGCCAGAAATTAAAATAATATGAGATTTACAGTCAACAGTATATTTTGGCAGATGAAATTTTATAATTCAGTTTAATAAATAACGCATAAACATTATTTTTTTGAACCTATGCAAGTTGCATGTTGGTTTACATTACTAAATTATTTAACAATACAGAAAAAAATATTACTACTTATTAAAAAATGATTCAGAATTTTGTATCATTTGTAAAAAATTCAGTTAAAAAATTTAGTTAGTTGATCCTATATTGAATAGTGCACCATATGAACTAGATTTTACAACTTAATTCACCTGAGATTTGAACATAAACAATAATGTTTATTAAATTATTAGTAAGAAAAATGTACGAGGTCTGTTCAAAAAGTTTTCGTAATTTTCGTTTTTTCAAAAAA